CACTGGAGAGAAACCTTATGAATGTAACCAATGTGGTAAAGCCTTTGGACATAAAAGTAATCTCCTAATACATAAAAGAACTCACACTGGAGAGAAACCTTATGAATGTATTCAATGTGGTAAAGCCTTTGTATGTTACAGTCATCTCCAAGTACATGAAAGAACTCATACTGGGGAGAGACCTTATGAATGTAACCAATGTGGTAAAGCCTTTGTATGTTACAGTCATCTCCTAACACATGAAAGAACTCATACTGGGGAGAAACCTTATGAATGTAACCAATGTGGTAAAGCCTTTGCAGATAACAGTGATCTCCTAAGACATAAAAGAACTCACACTGGAGAGAAACCGTATGAATGTAACCTATGTGGTAAAGCCTTTGCACGTAATAGTCATCTCCTAAGACATAAAATAACTCACACTGGAGAGAAAACTTGTGAATGAAACCGAAGTTGGTAAAGCTTTTGCACAGCACAGTCATCTCGTAGTACTTAAAAGAGTTCACACTATAGAGAAATGTTAAGAATGTATCCAATGTGATAAAGACTATGCATTTCAGAGTAGTCTCTGAAAACATAAAAGAACACACCCAGGAGAAAAAAAAATCCTTATGAATGTAATCACCTTTGTATAACACAGTCATCTCCTAAACCATAAAAATACATATTGCAGAATATCCTTGTGAATATAACCAGTGTCCTAAAGACTTTTCATGTAAAACTCATCTAGGACAAGAAACATACTGGAGTGAAATCCTATGAATGTAACCAATGTGGCAAAACCTTTGTATGCCATAATTTTCTCCAAGTACATAAAAAAAATACACACTGGGGAGAAACCTTATGACTGTAACCAATGTGGTAAAACTTTTGCTCTTCAGAATCATTTTCAAAGTCATGAAAAAATTCATACTGGACAGAAAAACTGAGTGTATTTAAAATGGTGAAGCTATTCCACATTTGTATACTCATCATCATAAAAGAATTCATGCTGGAGAGAAATGTTTATGAATGTTTTAAAATATGAGAGTTTTGCACATATCTACATTCTTCATCATAAAAGTTTAATACTGGAGAGAAATCCTGAGAATATAAGCAAAACTGTTCTCTTTCTGTTCTTTGTGCCTTTGCGTTCTTTGGTCCATTGAATCAAATAAAACCCAAACACTAGGTCAATGCAAATGACAAAAATTTTTTGTTATCATGGCACTACTGGTTGATGAGGGCCACATAAAATTCTTGGGAACTGAACTGTGATACCTACCCACTCACTGGGCCAGAAAGTTACAGCAGTTCTGTGCTTGAAATTTGTAAACATCTGTGCTGTTTTTTAATTTTTTTTAATCAATCAGGGTTTAAGGATATGGGATTGGTTTATGTCATTGAGAAAGTCACCTGATGCAAAATGTAGGTTTTACAGTTAAAACAATCATATCCATTTGTTCTTTTGTGGTTAGGAAAGGTATTATATTTTAGGGAAGAGAAGTTGTGGTTTGGGACAGTCATTATGTTAGGGAAACAGAAGCCGTGGTATGGAACAGTCAGGTTTGGGAGAACAAAAGATAAATAATGAAAGCTAGTCAGCTATTGGGAAGCCTGCAGCTTTCCTAGAGATGATAAACTTAAACTTAGGTTCACCCTATAATTCAATAGACGCTGATATCTAAAAGGCAATACTTAGGACAAATTTAATTTGCATGTTTACACATGCAAAAAACTTTTGCATGTTTTTGCATATCACAGTCATCTTCAAATATATAAAAGAACAGATAGTAGAGAGAAACCTTACACCTGAAATCATTGTGATAAAGCCTTTTCTTAACATAGATATCTCCAAATACATAGAAAAAACATATACTGCAGTGAAAACCTATGAATAAACAATGTGGTAAATCTTTTTCATGTAGTTGTCTTTCAAATCTTGAGAAAAAGCCATGCTGCAGAGAAACCCCATGAATGTAGTCAGTATGGTAGTTTTCCTCTTCATGTTACCATTATAGAAGAGTAAAAGCTGTAGTGTGTGAGCAACCTGTTAAAGCCTTTGCATATCACAATAGTCTTTGAGAACCTGAAAGAACTCATTCTGAAGAAAATCTATTGGGATAAAAGATTTGTTAAGATCTTTGACCCACCAACTTGCATTCAGTTACACGAGATTATTTGGGAGGAAAACTCTAACAAGTGTCTACAATGTATTCATGCATTATAACATCCATCCTTATTTTATTTCCAATTCAAAGCTCACATGGACAAAAGGCTTATGAATTTAAACCATAAGGTAACCCTTTTAGATTTCAAAATTCTCTTCAATTACATTAAATAAATCATCCAGTTGTAAAATTTATGTGTGTTTACTGCCTTTTCTGTGACAAAACACCATGTCTGTGTCAACTTCCAAATGTGTTTGCTTTGCCTTATGGTTCCCGAGGGATATAGGATCTCTATGATATGGGCATCCAAGTGTCACATGTGGCAGCTGAAGAAGGAAGCTTACAGCTCACAGCCTCAACCTTCAGTATGAAGCAGAGAGTGAGAATTACAAATGCTATGCAGTTGAAAACTATCAAGCCCACCCCAAGAAACATACTTTCTCTAAGAGTGCTTCATTTCCTAAACATTCATAAATGATACCACCAACTGAGGATTCATTTCTCTGACTTCAAATCTACATGTTTGATTTCTGTTACATAAAGGAATTCATGATGAAGAAAAACTCTGTAGATAAGCCTGTAGATGCCTCAACACCTGAGTTACAGTAATGAATGATTACACAAGTAAAACATTCATGAGTAAACATATATTTGTTTAAGAATTTGTTTGAATTTCCATTATGTGTTATCAGTGTGTCTCTTTGTGTTTATGTGCCTGTCCATTCTGGTTTCCATGAAGAGCAGACCCTTTCATACCAAGAATTATAGAAAGTTGTCAAAAACCTGACCTAGGTCCTGGGAATGAACTTAAGTGCAAAGCAATCTCTCTAGTACTGTAAATATTTTAAATCTTTATATATCATCTTGATGTCAAGAAGTAGAAAAGAATTCATAGAAGAGAGAAACCGTATTTCTGCATAAGATTTGATGACACTGGACATAATAAATGTATTCAATTTCAAGAAAAGAAACTTTTTAAAATATGTTTTTATTATAGCCTTGGAGGAAATAAATTATTTACCGTGTTCACTTAAATGTAATGGTTGTATCAATTGTGGTTGTGGTCTGAATTGAAACCTTGGAGTAAGTACTGAAGTTTGCTGTATGTGTAGCAAATCTATTCACAGATGTTTATGAGGTTGTTCTGATATTCTTTCTGTGGTGGCTGTTCATCTGCATTTCTGCTTTGTGGTAGATATTTTTCTGCTGCAATGTATAGAATGGGATTTCCATCATTTGTGTGATCTATTGCTTACTTCTATCTGGCAGTGTGTGATCATAGTTTTTACGGAAGGGTCTCTGAGAAAGCATGGTACTTTTTGCATTTTCACAAATTCTTTTAAGATGTTTGGTTTTCAACCTCACTTGAATGTAAATAGTTAATGTTAAAATGCTCAATAATATGTGTTTATGTATGTATATATTGTTTGAAGTTCCATGCTTCTTCATGTTCCCTTATTTTCTATATGTCAAATCATCTTGAAGAACTTCCTTCTAAGAGAATTGTCTAGAGGTGTTAGATAATGTAAAGCAATGAGGGTTATTTCAAAAAAGAATGTTGTGTGTGTGTAATGTAACTGTGGGATCCTGGGCGATGACAGATATATGAAGATTCTGTGATCACGTTGTGAGGTTTATTTTCATTGTTATATGATGTTCAAAGTTATGTTGCCAGTTTTACGTACCACAAACATTCCCCCACTGAGCTCATTGATACTCAAATAAACTTAGTTGAAATAGTACATATTGTCTTCTATTCATATTATAAACAAATTGTCATCTAAGGATGGAAGAAAATGATATGATTTGGATAATGCTATTTGCAAATGAAAATGATTACTGCTTTTGTGTTAACTGTAGAATTTAAAGAATCATTACTGTTTATTAAAAGAATAATGGTTCCTTTATACATCTTATTTTATCTTTTCATTCCTTGATTCAAGGATAGGTCATTTTAAAAATGTATTTCAGCTGAGGCTCAAAAATGATCTTTGTCATCCTAGACCTGGGAGTCAGTGGCAGGTCCCTCTCTCTGAGGTTGAGGCCAGCATGGTCCACAGAGTGAATACTTTTGCTTGTTTGTTTTTGAGGGAGAATTTACTTGTTTATCCTTGGCTGTCCTGGACTCACTTTGTAGACCAGGATGGTCTTAAATTTACAGAGATCTGCCAGCCTCTTGCTCCCTGAGTGCTGGCATTACATATGTGTGCCACCATGCCCTGCTCCACAGATTGAGTTCTAAAACAGCCATGGCTATGTGAACATATCCTGTCTCTAAATCATTCCAAAAAAGTAGACTATATCTGAAATTGTGGATTTTTTCCAATATAATTGACTGGCTTCCACAAAGCCTTTTGTTGTATTTACTCACATCAAGAGAACTGTGGTAACAATGAAAATAAAGAATAATGTGGAAAGTCCATTCATACAGGGGTGGAAATCCATTGAATCCTATTCTAGCCATTTATCAGGGCCTTTATCATCTTCCAGTGCTAGGAGACAGAAGGGGTAATGCAGCATTTGCTTCCTCTGCATTATAATGACATCATTGGGAACTGGAGGGTTAGTGGTACTACTCCTTTGTAAACTCAGTTTAATTTCTAGCACTCACATGACTAAGAACCACTTGTGTTTCTAAGTCAAGGACATTGGATGTAGTCTTCTGGCCTCTTGGAGGAGAAGACAGTGAAAATGGTGAAAAGACACATGAACATGTCATTCCCTAATGTAAAACATTTTCTTCACATATATCTTATTTTTTTTCTTTAAAAATAAATTGATTTAATTTAGGTGCAGAAGTTTTGCCAGTGTGTATACCAAGTACATGTGCAATATCAGTGGAGGCCAGAATATCTGTTCCCCCCATGACTGGAGTTACAGACAGTTGTGGTCTATCTCTTACCTAGGCCATATGGCTGAGCAGCCAGCCATAGGTGTTGAGCCATCTGTTTAGCGCTAGGAACATATCATTAATAACAGTAATGTTTATCTTTAGTGCTGAGGTATGTTTCTTGTATGAAGCAGAAAGATAGGACCTTTTTAAAATCTATTTTGTAATCTGTGTCCTTTTACTAGGGACTTGATGCCATTGGTGTTGGGAGATAATAATGACCAGTTTTTGTCACTGTTATTTTGATGTTGGTGGTGGTAGTGTGTGTCTTATATTTTTTGTTGTTAGCCTAGCCTTTAACGGCAGAGCCTTCTCTCCAGCCCAGATAGCCTGTATCTGTATGTCTGTGAGAGTGTGTTTATATGATTGTGTTTGTGTTTCCCTTCTTTAGTTTTGCTGATATGAACTTATATAATACTGTGTTTTCCTGGTTGTATTTGGCCTTCTTGGGTGGAATTTTCCCTGTAGTATCTTCTATAGAGCTGGATTTGTGAATAGGTAGAGTTTAAATTTGTTTTTGTCCATGTTATATCTTGTTTTCTCTCTTTATGTTGTTTAAAGGTTTGGCTGGGTAAAGTATTTGGGGCTGACATCTGTGGTCTTTATTGTTTATAAGATATATGTCCAGGC